GTCACCAAAACTAGGGAGATATGGAACAAATAAGACCAGTGGTGTTCTTGGAACCAGGACAATTTTCTGTAAGGTTCTATATAGTTATGACCACCAGTTCAGTGCAAATCAAAGTAAAAAAGGAAGCAGTTAGATACCTTTAACAGGCAAAATGTGAAACTGTATTGTTTTTTGGGAAAAAAAATTAAAGATTTCATAGGTTTAACCTCTGTAAAGATTTCCTCCCGTTAAGTTTGTAGTAGGAGCACAGAGAAGTTTAAGTCACCCACAACAAACAGTAATGATTTTCCTAAGTTAATTCTAGGCTTTTGTTTTCATTTCTGCTTTTGTGTTTGCAGTGCTGGGGCACTCAGGGGAATAGCCCCAGCCCCTCTGTTATTTTCATTTTGAAATAATTTCAGACCTACAGAAAAATTACAAAAATAGTACAAATGGTTGCACATGTTCTTCACTTAGATTCCCCAAATGTCATGTATTTGTTTTACTATATATTTATTTTATCATCTTCCCTCTCTCTATTGTTGTTTTTCTCTATACATATAAATTGATATACACACATACTCAATACATACATATATAATTTTGAATTAGCCCTTTCAGTGTATATTTCTTAAAAACAAGGACATTCTCTTATATGAAATCACAATATGATGATCAGAATCAGGAAATTAACATTGATAAAGTACTATTTCCTAATCTACAGATATTTTTAGACTTTATCATTTTTCTCATGTGCCCTTTATGATAAAAGAGAAAAGTTTTTGTTCTGTTCATGAATCTTATCTAAGATCAGTCTTGCACATTGTTGTCATTGTCTTTTTTTGACCTTTAATCTGGAACATTTCTTTGGTCTTGGTTTTGTACAACCTTGAAATTTTTTAATAGTATAGGCAAATATTGTGTACAGTGACTCTCGGTTTTGGTTTGTCCACGTTTTCCCTTGATTAAATTCAGTTTGTGTATTTTTGTCAGGAATCCATCAGGAGGTCCATGATATGTACTCTTTCTATTACTGGTGATGTTAACTTTGAATACTTGCTTATCTGCCATGTTTCTCCATTATAAAGTTACTATTTCTCTGCCTTTATAATTAAAAATATTTTGTGATTTTTGTAAATATATTGTTTCTATTATATTTTCACCCACTAGTTTCTATTGCTGATTCTTTCTTGAAACAATTGTGACTCTTGTGGTGACAGAACTTCTGTAAATAGTCTGAACCCTACACAATGTTAAAAAATATGGAACAACTGCTGCCATTTGCTTCTGTGATTTGCCTCCCTTTGCTTGTTGAACAAAACACCCGAAATTTCACCAGTGATGCTTAAAGGCACATAGCCCCAGTTTAAAACTAACAGATGCTGGAGGTGCTAAGCCGCATCCCAGGATAAGACCAGATGTTCAAACTAAGATAACAGTCCCTGAGCATAAAAATTTCCGTAAATCATGAGACTATACAGGTGTTAAAAGATGAGAGGAATGTTGCCAGTCCTGCTTTCCTAACCCTGACCTCCACTCTTGTGAGCTAGAATAGCTAAAGGATAAATATCCTTTTAAAAAAGTGCTACATTTGGGTTAACATTGTACTGCCTTGTGACTGTGATTCGTGATGGGAACTGTGGGGACTAGAATGTCTTATCATGTAAAATGAGGTCATAACTGTAGAGCTCTTATAAAAGGCAGATTGTCTCCCAGTCCAGGGTTGGTAGGGTGGCACAGCTCTTGGTGCAGGCCGACCCTTTGCTAGTAAAGTAGACATATTTTACCCACTCCTGTATCTCTCTGTGTGTCAGTAACCAGTTCCTTCTGCAACAGGGGTAGCCAAATGGTGATGTTCTAATTCCATCATCTCTTCTGCATTCATTTATTGACATTCTGTGGTTAGGAAGAACTTCTCATTTTCCTCCACGTATTTATTCACAACATTATTGGCACTATTCCATTCTGCATTAATTCTACAATCAATTTTATCATCATTTATTTTGCTGCTCAATTTCTCCCCAAACGTGGCCAAGGAATATCCAATTACATTGGCAGCTGTATCTTTTTTGACAGGTCCTCACCATATGTGAATAATTCTTTACTTTCTGGAACAGCAGTATTCATGAGATTATTTCTTAATAAGTTCTTAGACAAAATCCTAAAATGTGGCTCAGTGAAAGGATTTCTGAAGACTGCAATCCAGAAATGCTGATAAATGGTCTTGCTTGACTCAAGGCTAAAACTCAAGGAATAGGCATACTTCCTCCAATCTTCTATAAATATTGCTTGTCTTAAATAGGCTTTGACGAGACTTGGATATCAGACAATTCAAGACTTTGTTTCCTGCCAAAGATCAATAGCACTATTCAATAAAGCCTTCTGCCTTCAACTAGTTAATTTTAGGGGTTGGGGATCTACTTCAGTGGAAGAGTGCTTACCTAGCCTACACAAGGGCCTAGTTTCAATCCCCAACACTACAAAAAGACTAATTTTAACCTTAATTTAGGTAAGTATGTATGGCAACTTATTGGACAGATGGGTACAAAAAGAAAGGCTTCTATGGCATTGACAGGGCAGGGGATTTAGCATTTAGTTCAGTGGTTCTGCCGCCTGCCTTGCAAGTGCAAGGACCGGAGTTTGATCCCCGGTACCAAACCAAATCAAACCAAACAAAAACAAAAACACAGCCAAACTCTATGACATTGACAGATGACAGATTAAAATATACTAGAGGTGAAAAAATGTAACCCTAAATGCTTAAACAATTAGAGAGTTTTGAGTTAGCCAAGCATAGTAGCACACATTTGTAATCCCATCATGTGGGATGCTGAGGCAGAGAGATCTCAAGTTCAAAGCCAGCCTGGGTTGCATAGCAAGTTTAGGTGTAGCCTAGACTATATATTGAGACTGACTCTGTCAAAAGAGAGAAAGAGCAGGGGCTGGGAGGAAGAGAAGAAGGAAGGGCTGGGGATGCAGCTTAATTCCAAGGCCTTAGATTCAATTCCAAGTACCACAAAAATGTTTCATAGAATTATCAAACATAAGCCACTTACTTTGTATTCATTGCATTATTTTAAAGAGTACGTAGATTGTAACATAGCCATGTTCTATTGAGGCTACTTCTACCTTTTTGTTTGTTTGTTTTGTTTTTGTACCAGGGATCGAACTCAGGACCTCATTCTTGCTAGGCAGGCGCTGTGCCACTGAGCTAAATCCCTGGCCCTGAGGCTACTTCTAATTTGTGGCAGTTCCTTCACAGCATCTGCTTATGGGATATTGATTCCTGTGTTCCTTCTTGGGGGGACTAAGTATGAAGATCAGCTCAAATTTGTTTCAAATCAGTAATTTTCAGGTGATGAAGGGAAAGAGGGTAGCCAAAAAAGTCTTATTTTATGTTCCCTCAATAACCTGTATTTTACTTAGGATGGGCTTTACTTATACGTGGTCCACATGCTTTGTGGGACCATGAACAGAAGTGTCTGACCTTGAAGACTCAGACTTCCTGGCCACTGAATCTGAATGAGCCCAGCGCTGTCCCCAGATGCAACTGGCCACAAGGTCTGCAGTTACTGGTGACAGGCGCTCCGGACAGCTAACTCTCAGAGCAGCTGTCACTGCCTTCTGCCTGCTGAAATACGCAAAGGCATATTTTGTCTTGGCCAGCAAGGCCTCTGTCATGCTTCCTCTATAAAAAGGGAAAACAACCAAAAGGAGTTGGCAAACAGGAGTCCTTCTCTTGAAGTCCTGACCTGCATTAGTCCAACTTGATCGGCTAAGTGTCCCCCGCAACAGCATGCTGAGAGACAGTCGGCATCGGCTGCTCCTCTGCCCGGGAGTTCAGTCTGTGCCACAAGACCTTAACTGTAGTTTACCCAACCCATTCTGATGACACATGTTTGATGGAAATATCTACATTTTCTCCAAATAGCTGAATCAAGGAAAGCCATCAGTGAAAATCTAATGTATGATCACAAGAGAATACAAAAACATTTAAATCAATCCAAAGCAGTGTAGTAAATGTTTCCTAACATATGAAAATCAATTTTTCTAATTCTATTTGTAAGCAAACACTTTAAAATGAGGTAAGGGTTAGTTAGTCAGTAGTTATTCAGGGCAAAGAAAAAATTAAGTCAAATACTTAAAATGACTGCCAAAGAAAATCAGGGGTCTCCTGAAAGCAGACAACTAATGTGACAGCTCACTTCGTGTGTCAGCCTGGCCAAGACATCACACTGACGTGCTAAATTATTGGTCCAGCCCGAGTCTGGCTAGTGCCAGCAAGGTATTTCATAGATGGGATTGACATTTATAGCCAACTGGCTTTAGGAAAGCAGATTTAACCTCCATCATATGGGTGGCCTCATCCAATCAATGGCAGTATCAGCAGGAGAGGCTGAGGTCTCAAGAAGGAATCCTGCTCCAAGACTGAAACATAAGAACTCTGTGTGGTCAGCCTGTCTGGGCTACCCTGAAAAGTTTAGACTCAAGACTGCAACACCAACTCTTCCCTGAGTATCCAGGGTGCAGGCCTGCCCTGCAGACTTCAGACTTGGGGACTCCACGCTCACATGGACAACTTTAAGTCCCCCCCACATCATACAAAGACGCCAACTATTGGGGATGGGGATGTAGCTCAGTGTCAGCATACTTGTCTAGCATGTGTGAAGCCCTGGTTTGCTGTTTTTTGATTAATTAAATTTTTTGGTACATTTTAGATATACATAAGGATCACATTCTTTGTATAGAATTTGTACCTGTACTGATGTATCTTGATTCTTCCTTTTTCCCCATTTCCCTTCCCCCTTCAACCCATCTTCCCCTCCCTATGTACAAAAGCTTTGTTTCCATTTTTTCCTTCTTTTCTTATTTTTTCTTTTCCTTCTTTCCTTTCTCCCTCCCTCCTCCCTAGTTCCCCGTCCCATTTGAACATTTTCTACCTATTTCACAATATCTATTCTACATTTTTGTCCTTATATACACTTTCAGTGTCTCACACCAGAGAAACAGTGAGACATTTTAAAAATACTTAAGGCTTTATGAATTTGCCTGTCTTCCTTGGACAGGGACCACGCTTAGTTTCTCTGTATTGTCCAAGTAGCGTATGTGCTGCCAAAGCAAGCACAGAGCTCTGATTTGGGTCCCCAGTATTGCAGAAACAAAAAGACCCACATATACATGAATACAAGGGGTGACCTAAAAATATAATGAATGTTCAAATACAAAATTTATTACACTTAAAGATTCATTGCCATTAATCCCCTTCAAAATTTTCCCCCTTGGAATCACTTCTCAGCCTTTCGGCTAAGATCAAGTGTAGCAAAATATTCCCCTTTGGGCCAGGGATTTAGCTCAGTGGTTCCACTCCTGCCTCGCAAGCTCAAGGACCCAAGTTCGATCCCTGGTACCAAAAAACAAACAAACAACAATAACAAAACCAATAAAATGTCTTCCATATATATGTGTGTATGTGTGTGTGTGTGTGTATTGAATATATAAAGATATTAATTTTCTTTTTAGAAACCAGTGCTTGATGATGCCTCTCAAGGAAATGAGAAACAGTGGTTTCCCTTGGGAATGGAAACAGTGAGCCTGAAGGAGCTGGGATGCTAGGACCCTGAGTCAGTCCTCCAAGCACCAAGGGGAAAAGGAGCTACACGTTGGATTTGTTTTGTTTGTATTTCAAGAGAAGAAACTATCAAAACTCCCTCAGTGAGAGAGAGCAAAGGGGAGAGCCAAGACCTGTGAGCTCAAACCTCTGAGCTCTCTTCTCAATATGATGTGCTTCCGAGAAGAAAAAATACGTTTGTGAAATCAAAAGTCGGAGCAAGAGTCTCACAGAAAGAGACTAATTCTTTGTTGTGGAGAAGCAGGCTGAGAAGGTAGTGTTTTCCAGAGAATAATCCACCCTTGTCCTGAGTGTTTTCTGTGTATGGATTCATTCAACCATGGATCAATTATTTATTAGCCTGTGATGGTTGCATCAGCACTGAACATGTACAAACTGTTTATTTGTGTCATTATTCCTTCACAATTAAGTTCAACAACCATTTGCCCTGTAGTTACACTATCTTAGATATTGTAGTAATCTAGAAATTATTTAAAATATAAAAAAGGGTGTGTGTAGGTTATATATGCAAATACTATGCCATTTTATATAAGGGTGGGGGGTTCCTGGGACCAGTCCCGCTGTAGATACCAAGAAATGCCTCTGCTCTCTTTGCTGGGATCAAGAGTCAGGTGGGTCTGAATTCCAGTGCCAGTTCTGCCACTAACTGATCATGTGAATCAGGTAAGTTACTTATGTGCACTGCTACTCAGCTTCCCAAATCTTTAAAATGTAAATAATAGCACGTGATACTTTCAAGAGTTATTTGTCAATTTTGAGAATAGATATAGATGTGTAACATACTATGTACATGTGAATAACTCATTTCTTTAAACAGAGAGTTATTTTATGGATAAAATAATTGTGAGAGGCAGAGATAGGTTTAGGTCCTTTACTTTAATAATTTTTATCTTTTATAAGTAAGTAGTAGGAACCCCATAACCAAAGCTTGGGAAGTTCCTACAAAAACAGAGGTTTTTTTGTTTTTGTTTTTGTTTTTGGTACCGCGGATCGAACTCGGGTCCTTGTGCTTGTGAGGCAGGCCACCGAACCGCTGAGCTAAATCCCTGGCCTGAAAACAGAGTATTTGGGGAATAATTTGCCATAAATTTTATAAACTATATAAATGTTGATTGAAATTTTTTATTTTTCCTTCAAATCTGTTGATGTTGAGGCGCTGGACTTTACGTAGCAGATTCAGGATCCATCCAACATTCTTTCCCTTAGGGAAATTTTTTCCTCTGTCCTAGGTGACTCTGCTCAGGTTGGCAATCACATCAATCTCCTTCGCTGACACAACTGAGTATGTAGCTTGGGCTGACCACTCAGGATGCTCATTTGCACTAAAACAGTGACCAGTCCAGGGGAGGTCATGTAACATAAGCGACCTCCTGAGCTCCTTATGGAATTAAGGTGTGTGTGAGGAAGAAGAGGTCCCCTCTCTTCTTTGGGATTCTGAGTGTGCTGTGTTGTCTTTGGCTCCTTACTTAAGCACATGTGTAGTAGGTTGAATAATGTCCCTCCAGAATTTCATTTTAATCCAAAACCTCAGAATATGACCTTATTTAGAAGCAAAGTCTTTGCAGATATAATTAGTTACGAATATTGAGATGAAACCAGTGCAAAAAAAAAAATAGAGGTCACAGCAATGTAGAAAAGAAAGCAATGTAAAGGTAGAGGCAGGGATTAGAATAATACATTTATAAGCCAAAGAATGTCAAGGATTGCTGGCAACCAGAAGCTCAAAGAGATGCTTGAGCGGTTTCTCTCTCAGATCCTCCAAGAGGAACCAGCCCTGCCAACAGTCCTGATTTCAGACTTTTGGCCTCCTGAACCATAATACAATTAATGTCTACTGTTTTAAAGCATGTCTTTGCTGGTGGTTTATTACAGAAGCTCTAAGAATTTAAGACAGAATGTTTTCAGAATTCAAGGAAAATCTAAGTGCAATGGGCCTCAAGAAAGCAAAGTCCAGGGCTGGGGATTTAGCTCAGTGGTTCTGCCACCTGACTTGTAAGTGCAAGGACCTGAGTTCAATCTCCAATACCAAGAAAAGAAAAGAAAAGAAAAATCAAAATCCTGGGAAGCTCCAGCAACCTAGTAGAGGACTTTGTAGGTCCTTGATCTAATGCTCTCCTGGGGGCATACAATTCCCAATTCCCAACTCTCATTCTCAGTTGCTCTCAATTCAAGTAAAATGAGAGGGGAAAAAAATGAGTCCTGGTTTATGCCAGATGCCTTTTCTTCATCAAATCACAATGGCCTAAGAGAAAGTGGTACTAAAAGGACACTTGTCAGGGCTCGCCCTTATGAATAGGGAAAGAGTTCTCAGAACAGCCAGTCTCAGAAGCTATTTATTTCTAATGTTGATCCACAGTACTTCTAAATCTTAAATCATTAAGATAGATCAGTGGCTTCTAATTCTGTTAATCATAACCACCAAGAAAACTTGGACAATTACTCATTTCTGGGCTTACCCAAGATTTATATAATGGGAATTTCCAGAAGAAGTCTTGCCTGGGGATTTTGTTCCCCCAAAAAACTCATAGACAATTACGATAATTATCCTGTAGGAACAGTGGGGTAGGAATGTTTTAGCTCAGATTGTTACAGCAAAGTACCATCTACTAGATAGCTTACAAATAATAGAAATTTATTTCTACCATTATGGAGGCTGAAAAACTGAGATCAAGTTGCCTGCATTGCTAGATTTGGGTGGGGGCTCGTAGGTTGAAGACTGCTGACTTCTCATTGTGTCTTCACTTCACATGACAGAAAAAGCACACAGGTGCTCCTGGGATCTCTCCATTCATGACAGTTCTGCCCTCATGTTATAGTTGAGGTCTAAAATGTCACCCCAAAGTCTTATGTGCCTAGAGGTGGGGCTTTTGGAAGGTGATTGGGTCATGGGGGTGCTCCGGACAATGGATTAATTCATGTGAGTCAGGTGACAGGAGGTGGGTCACTGGAAGCACGACCTAGAAGGGTGTATTCTTGTCTCCAGCTCCTTCTTGCTTTTGCTGCCTCCTGAGTGCCATAGGTTGAGCACTTTTCCTCCACCAGTCCCTTCTGCCACCCCATTTCTGCCTTGGAGTCAGCTGACTGTATACTGAATCCTCTGAAACCACAAGCCAAATACAAACTTTTTCTTCTTTAAATTATGTGTGTCAGGTATTTTTCCCAGTGTTGGGGAAGCTGGCTGACATATTAATGAACTATTTCCCAGTGGCCCCAGTTCCTAATATCATCACAAAGAGGGTTAGTATTTCAGCATATGAATTTGGGGGTCACACACTATCCAGTCCAAAATAAAGGCTAAATAAAGCTACTGGACAAGATTCATGATGGCTGTGACTTGAACTGGGCCTGGGAGGAAGCATAGGACTTTGCTGGCATCAAAAGAGCAAATTCCTGCAAATCCTTAGAAAGATTCTATGAATCATCACAAATGAAACTGCAGTATTCACCCAAAAATAGAATAAAGGAAAGACAAGTCAGTGTGTGAGAATGATTAATTTTTGCAACCTGATTTTCCTGTATGGGTTTCTTTGTTTTTGAATTTACTGCTTACCATTATATCATGATCAGATTAATGAATCAACTGATTTTATCCCTTTTCAAAGAGAATTGTGGAATAACCTGGGAAGAATTAGGACACAGGCACTCTTGAATTCAAGGACTTTAATGGAACATACTGAACTTTGCTCTATAGGATCTGGATTTGAATCAACATTTCATAATGGAAATATTGATATTCTGCTAGCAACAAAGAACATTATTTCAATATCTTAGTCAGAAATCACCTATCAGTGATTTGGAAAAACTTTTTTTCACTCTTATTGAAAGCAGGGGTTTGGAACTGCTATGGTTTGAATGTGAGCCACAGAAGTCATATGTTGAAAACTTGATCCTCAACGGTGTTTAGGTCACAAGGGCAGAGATCCCACGAATGGATTAATACAGTGATTGCTGGAGTGGGCTCCTTACCATGGAAGTGGGCATTTTATAGGATTGAGTTTGGCTGTCTCTTGCCCTCACTTGCTATCCTTCACCCTCACTCACCCATGTGATACCTCCTGCCATGTTATGACACTGTAGAAAGGCCCTCACTAGATGCGGACCGTCCGTGTTGAGTTTCCTAGCCAAACACATCTTTGTTCTTTGCAAATTACTCTGTCTTCAGTATTTTGTTATAGCAGCATAAATTGACTAAGACAGGAACTTACCTTATATATTAACTATGCTGATAGTCATACTAAAAGCCTAGATGTATTCTTTCTAAATATTTGTATTCCAAAGAGTGGAGTTCTGTAAACCTCATTCATGAACCCTTAGAAACATATTGAATTAGTTACTTTTCTTGTTGGTAACACAAAATACCTGATACTCAAAGTTAAAGGAGGAGGTGAGGATTTAGCTTAGTGGCACTGCACCTGCCTGGTAAGTGCAAGGTTGTGAGTTTGATTTCCGGTACCACAACATAAAAAATAAAAAATTAAAAGTGAAAACTGTGTGAA